CGACAAGCCTGCGAGATAATTTCCGCTTCAATAAATTCTCGCACATTTGGAATAGGCTTCCAGAAGGAACCCCTACGGCAGGCCCGCTACCACTTTCCTGCTGTTTGCTTAGTAGGCTACTTATAAACAATGAGCCCATAGCTCATCTAGCCACTATCTATCCATCCTGGGCTAGTGAAGGCGTGCTTGGACCTCTGAATGTATGAAACAGAGTTATTGAGGTCCTCGAGTTCCTCTTACACTGACGGGCTTACATTGCTTACAAGGGTGTAAGCAATTGTTCCCCTCCCCACCATAATGAACTTTAAGTGCACTGGTTTTCCCTCAGAACCACTGCGACATACCCAAGATATTGAAATCTTTAAGAACCTAATAATGGGAAAACCATGTAGTTAATCGTACATGCATGAATGAAAGTGTGCATAAAGTTCGAACAAGTCTAGCAGTGTAAGAACTTCTCACTTTTCCAAACTGGACTGCTGAGTACTTCCCTTTTCCATAACCGCTCATGCTTCTTCTTTCTCTTTTTATTTGCAGCAACATTTGGTGTTGAACTTCAATCTGAACATATCACTTTAGCGGAAACAGCACCTGCTGTTTGCCTCCAAGAATTATTGGACTGCTCCCAATCTTTTACGGGTCACGATTAACTCACCTACTGGTCAGGATTCTTAGAGTGAGGAACCGTCTAAAATTTCCCAACCTTCATAGTTACACAAGTTTTCTGAACAAACGATTTAACGAGACCGATTTATCTTTTGGCTCAAGATACGACTTGCCTGCAGTTGTTCCAAACTACATGTTTTCTAGTACTCTGTATCAAGTAAAAGTTACCATGCGTCAACTACACTTCCCGAATAATGCTGCTTACGCTGACATGAAAGATACCTGAAGCCTGTGTATAACCATTGCCATTCGGACTAATAACCACTTCAAAGCGTACTTCCATCAACTACTGTAAGCATTCCCAGTGGAATTAATCCATGTTACCTTTAAACATAACATGATGATTTGGACATTCACCTCGGTCATAAAACTGTGGATACTTACTGACACACCTGATAGTATAAATTCATCCTTTGTTGTTAGCAAAGCTAAAACTGAAGTTTTTAATGGATGGACGGCCAAATTACTAAATAACAAACCATGCAGATAGCTATTCCGCAAACTTCGAACATCGCGTGTCTTTGTTATTGATAGTGGAACCTACCTGTGTAATGGCAGTTGGAAGTCCATGCCTGTCTTATGATTCACAGCAGCTTTTAACAAGGTTGGGAGAGTCAGTAACCTGGAATGTGGACTGTATAATATCAAATACTATTCTGTAAACTTTCAAGAATTATCAATTTGACGATACTTGTGAACTGGTGTCAATTACGCTAAATCCATGAGAATAAGAATTTTTTATCTTCACTTTGACACTCGAGATACGCTGTGAAGTGATATTTTCTTCTTCGTCTCATGGCCGCGATATACTGATGTTCTTTATACAAATTAACGAACTCCCCAAGGCACTGTTTGCGAACAAAAAACATTGTAGATTTTTCGACATATCTCAATGTGACGCCAGTTGGTGAAAGTCTTCGAGAAGCCGAGCAGCCGGTGCATCGTCTCTTGTCTCGGTGAAAGCGAAAGTGAACATAAGGATGTGAGGGAGCGTGTTACAACTCCGTAACGTTTGACCAAGACCACTTAACTTCATGTGCTCTGATACCTGCTTAACCAGTACCCTACCTAAAGCGTAAGTACTGATGGCAAAGCACAAATCAAAAGGACTGGCTTGGGAATATATTTGAAAAAGTAATGTATTTGATTAGAGCAAATGTAATAGTAATGAATGGGGGAAGTTTATTCAACTTATTTAGCTAGTATGGCTGAGCTAGGGACTCTGAGTACGTGCCTGCTGATCAGCCTTAAGGAAGAGAGAAATGGCGTCCAAGGCTGCTCGGATGCATGCTCATTAAGACAAAACGTAAAACACCTAAAGCATCCCGAGGAAAGCTAGAGATTGATTTAGCTAATTTAATTTAATCCATTTATTTTAGCCCTAGTTGTATTTCGGTGCCAGGAAAGTACACTGCAGGGACATAGAGTGTCCGAACGATGTTCTAAGGTGGCTGGCAAGGCTGCCTAGACTGCAAAAGAGATGAGGAGATATGACATAAAAGTGCCTCAATAGGAATCTGGGTTCGCAGATGGGATAGAAGTGGACCCTCCAAACTGTCAACTGTGGAGTCAGTAATCTACTCCGATATTGTCACTCAGGCGAGTCTTGGAGTGGCTATCATGATTTTTCAAGGAACATCGATGGCTCTCATACAGTGGGAACGAATCTCCTCCTGCAGGATCATGATAGGAAAATTCAACCCAAAAGGAAGGAAAGTCACTATCTAGTGCAAGGAACATTCAAAGTCAAGTTGAAAGCCTTCAAAGAAGCTGGTGATAGACCACAGTTGAAGTTGAACACCCAGAACAGAAACTGAACTGAAGGACGAAACCACAAGGGACATCTTCACATCAGTCAGCCATCAGGACAAAATGGGAGACAGTGATGAACATCCCTGAAGGAACCTGAGTTGAAGAACACTGGAACTCTTTGAAAGCTATGTGGAACGAAACCTGGATGACCGTATTAGGAAGGAAGAGGAAACAAGACAAGGAATGGATCTCGACGGACACATGCAAGCTGATAGAGAGAGGAGGGAGGGGAAGATGGTGAAGCGGAAGATGAAGCAATGCAGTGCAGTGCAGTGCAGGAATGAACAACAGAAGGAGGAACTGAATAAGACCTATAAAACACTACACTGGACAAAAGAGTGGAGAGGATTGCGTAGAAAGACAAAAGACACTTCTACGACACATTGGCAAGTGAAGCAGAACAGGATGCTGGTGGAGGAGACCTGTCGACATAACATCAAATGACTAGGTTACTATCTGTGAAGGAGGAGATCCACACAGATGAAACCAATGAAAGGTAGTGAAGGGAACTTAGTTGACAAAGGGGAGAAACAAAAGAAACGATGGGTTGGCCACTTTAGAACACTGTCGAGTCGACCACCACCACCAAGTTCGACCCGTCCAGAAATGCCACCAGGAGTCCAGCCATGGAATTATCAGTGAACACAAACCCTCCGACGAAAACAGAAGTGAAGTCCTGAATGCCATAAAACTGCTGAAATTCGGCAAAGTAGCAGGACCAAGTAGAATTCCACCAAAAGCAATGAAAACAGATGCGGAGATGATAGCAGTCATGCTTGTACCACTTCTGCAGGTTTTTCAGGAAGGTAGGTGGGAAAGTTAGCTGCCAATCGGAAGTGTGGCTACCTTATCAAACTCCCAAAGAAAGATCCTAGTCTTTGAGAGAAATGGCGCGGAATCATGCTGCTGTCCACCCCAAGCAAAATATTAGGCCGAATATCCCGGAGGGACTAAAAAATGCTCTCCTTCAAAATACTACCGGAACAGGTTGGCTGGCCTCGGGAAGCTAACCATGTGAGGATCAGATTGCAGTGCTATGCATCATCATAAAACAGGGAGTAGAATGGCAGTCAAATCCCTCCCCAAGCTTCACCGACTATTAAAATGCCTTCGATAGCGTCGACCAAGAAGTAATTTGGCAACTGCTTCAACACTAAGGTTTCAGCAACACAAACCCTTGTCAACCTCACTCAACACCTATATGCTATATGATGCTACATGTCAAGTGATTCATAATGGAAAGCTCAGTGAGGCCTTTGAAGTGTAAGTGAAGACATGAGTAAGACAAGTTGTCTTACTATCACCGATGATCCTCCTGACTGTGATCGGCTGGACTCGACTGGATAATGCAACGAACTGTGAGGATCGAGGAGAAAAGCACAAGCTGGACCGATGAAAACACTGTAGAAGAGTGGGATTTCCCCATCGATGATGATTTATGTCTAGTGTCTTGCCTCACACATCCGAAGATCTACAGGCGAAGGCCAACAAGTTGACAGAAGAGGCGGGTTAGCGAAGACAGAACTTGATTCAGGCGAACGTAGAGAAGACACAGGTGATGAAGACACCCAACCAACCAACAACAAGAAGACCAATCAACATCAACGGGAGAAATCTAAAGGAAGTAGTCGTTTTTTCACCCACCCAGGCAAGCCAGGATCTTTTCAAGTACGGGTGCTTGCAGCGGCACACATGAGGATGTGAAAGCAGCCAGGATTGGTAAGACAGGCCTTCATCAATCTGAAATCAGTGTGCAGATCTTCTGCACTCAGCATAAAACGTGAACAAGATCCGGATTTTCAACACTAGTGTCAGTCAAGTCAGTGGTTTCATATGGTCCAGAAACTTAGCGCGTCACGTAAAGTATTTCCAACAAAACTACAGACGTTCATCAACAGCTGCCGTCTACGCTCGCTCGATATTGAAGATCAGATGGCCAGAATAATAAGAATAAGCAGCAAGGAACTCACTCTAGCTGGTAGCGAACCAAGCAAGAACTCATCGCTCTTTGTGTGTGCCGAAGAAAGTCGAGATGGATTGGGCAAACACTGAGAAAACCATTCGGAGACATCACGCGCCAGGCCCGACCCTCGAGTGGAACACAAAGGGGAGACGACGAGTTGAGCGTCCTAGGATGACATGGAGGAGATCGTGTGAGGAAGAAATAAAAGCTTGTGTGCAGTCGTGGCACCAGGTTGAAAAGATTGCAGAGAAGAGAGTGCAATGGAGACGTGCTACTGAAGCCCTATGATCCACTAGGAACTCAAGGGACAAATAATTATAATAATGTTTCCATCCGTTCAGGTTTTTCAGGACCCATAAGATGACGATAACCATTTCAAACGTAGAACGTACTCCAGTAAAGCAGATATAGAATTCAAGGAACCATCGTTCACTTATTCTACAGCATGAAGTTTGAGGTTTGAACACTTTGTCTTACCCGCGGGAAATCATAATTTGGACCTTTGGTACTGGATTTTGCGCGATCTAAGCTGCTGCCAGCTAAATAATCTTCCAGTTCTATGAAAGAAGTGAGTTTCTATATTCTGTCGACTAGATATTGGATATTTACACACATTTTATATTCCTTGATTAAGCCGTCAGTTAAAGAACTGCATACATTCATGTATCAATTGACACATGACGGTTAACCGTCATATTTCGTAGTCCGATGAACATAAGCAATAGAAGCTAGCACTGGTAACCAACAAGATGTATTTGTGAGAAGTAATCGACATTACCCAAAATTGGTCAAAAGGCAAAAAGCGTTTGAGTAGGGAATCTGCTGCAACGCTTACTTCGGGTTCACCTCCGAAGTTTTAGACAATAATATCCCTAAGTTCCCTAAGTCTCGGTATTGCACCTGAAGTGAATGAAGAATCACTTCTGTACGGAGTGCATCGATTTAGAATACTCGGTGTAGCATTTTACTTAAACTAGGATGCGTTTACGTACTTAAAAATCCTAACAATAGATTGATAACAGAAATTACGAAAACTTTAGGGGACTGCCCCCAACTTCATAATTGCGCCTAAAGTGTGTCTAGTATAAGACCCTGTTCCAAAAGTGCTCTGAAATATCACACTAGCTGGATATTACACGTCTTTTAATCGCACTATTGAAAGGAAATGTTAAATCAACGACAGTGTGCCTAACTGTCCAGGTGGTTTTTCACGGTTTCATTTTACGGGCCACATTTCGCTTAGATTTCAATCCTCATGCTATCTCGACATGAATGCGGCTTTCGATTCTGTTGACTGAAAGGTTTTATAAGTGTTAGTGAAAGTGGAACCGAATGAGTATATCGTTCTGTTGGAGACTCAGTATTCGAACACTAGTCGGCTTGTTAGGGCCTGTGTTGAGTTACCAGGTGAGTTGTGTGCGTTGTATAAAATCCATCAAAGGTATTCACCCTCATTCTCACTCAACTTTATCCTTAGTAGATCTGGAATAACCAGATTACATATTCCTGTTGGGTAAAAACGCCGACAAGACGCAAACTCTATTGGACATATTGAGAAGCGATCTAATAATGTTTCCAATGCGTTTCTCATCACCCAACGTTGATTCTTGCTCGACGACCAATCTTAAGTAGTAGCTTGTTTAAGAGAGTGAAATACTTCCGCGCGTTAACTGCTTCACCAGTTGTAAAGTTAGATCAGCTATGGTATTTCAGTGGTCGTCGAAATCTCAACATGGGTGCAGAAAGCTCTCTTGGTTTCCTCTCACCCATGCCATTTATGCTGCTTCCTTGATATCTAACTGTCGATCCAGATTTAAGTGTACTGCAGTGGTTTGCCCTGATTTATCATATGGATATGAAACATGGACATTGAAGGTTGAGGACATGAAAAGGCTTCAAGTGTTCAACCGCTGTTGCCTTCGTAGTGTAGACCGTGCCTTGCTGTTACCCCCTCAGTAAAGTAATCAGATGTAAGGTTTTAAGAAGAGGAAAGTCAGTTGGTGTGGTTGTGAACTTGAATCGATTCAGGTGACTGAATCATGTTACGCGTGTTTAGTCACCTACCTTGTACAATGTTAGCTGAAATACATCCAGACTAGGAGAAAGTCCGGAGCCGCGGAAATAAAACATAGCATCATTGCCTGGCATTTTTGACTTTTAGTCTGAGCCGTATAAGTGAATATAAACTCGGTTAGAGTCTGCGCGGTAACATAAACCGGGGGTGGGGGGTGGAGACTAGATGATATAACTCATAGTCTATCTCAATGGCGCAGACAGAGAACAGGAAGACTGACCTGTGACTGCAAGGATGAATTTGTTTGGACCAAAAGACATATATATATACAGTTTTCACAAACGTGAGGATACACTAGACAAAGAATAAAATGATTTATCCTGACCTCACAGCAGCATAGATCAGAATTTGAAGCTCGAAAATTTCTACCACCTTGTTCAATGACTTAGAGCTAATTTACGTTTCAGCCACTTCCTACCAATATCAATGAGCGGTCAACTTGTACTTTGGGATTCAGAGCTCAATTTTACGCTTCCTTTGTTGAGTTACCACTGGGTTACATTGTTTATTTGGATTGGTATCTGTCATTCATACCTGATTTCCGTTCACCTTGATTCGTTATATTTTCACAGTAGGTGGGTTACGCAAAAAGCAAAAGATAACTAAAGCAAGACAGCGAAAACCTAAAAAGTAACTGATTTGTTTGTTCCAACCCATCCTCTTATTACCAGTTTGTTTTGTTTGACACATTAATGTATGAAGTTGCTTCTTGTAATTCACATTCTCGCTCTCCTAAGCCTATTTAGTTCAATTATTCTTATGCATCTTTATGTTCTCATAGCAGGTTAATGACCGAAAAATGAAAAAACAGGTTATTCTACTGTGAAACTGAAATTTGATGAAGTCGAGTCAGATGGTGCTTCACAAGTATATATCATATCATTGCACGCATTTGTATGACTTCCAGTAATGTCACCGTAATGACATAAACACTAGACAGTTACAAGAACAATAGAGGATGACAGTGTACAGATTGAATATTGTTTTCAAAACAGCCCAAACTAAACCTTTTCACTGTCTTCTAACGAAGGCTAAGAGTACATAAAATCGTTTCACTCAGTCATACCAAAAGAATTAAAAAATTGAAATCTCGTCAGTCCATATATTTGTCAGTCTGTCCTCTTTCTTGCCACTGCTTCCAATTCTTCGCCTTACCCTTTTTCTGATTTTCGTTTTCCAGGTTTTTGAAACGAATATTCTAAATAAAATTTCAGTATATGGGGGAAACAAAGGACCAGTCGTGTTTTCTGAAAGACCTAAAACCGAATATGAAACGTGTTTCATGTGTTTTTATAGTTCTTGAGTTGGGTCCGATCACGCGTACGAAGGACGGGAATGAAGTTCGGACTGTAAAGGTTGCTGACCGTACAGGAACAATCAACCTTTCTGTTTGGAATGAAAATAGTTCCCTGGTCGCTCCATGTGATGTTCTTCAACTTGTTCAGGGTAACACCACTGTTAGAGGAGGTTGTCTGACACTAAGTGTTGGTCGTTGTGGTCAACTTATGAAAATTGGAGAGTAATGTTATCTAGTTGTAATTCTATAAATTGGTTTGTAGATTTTGTTTCCCTTTCGTTGAGTCACCTGATTTTAGTACCTTTAATGATGAATGGTCGGTGAAAACAGTGAGTACTAATTTCCATAGTAACGCGTTTTCAGAGTGATTCTAATGCAACAAACAAGTCTGAACCAACAAACAAGTAATTCTGGTAACTGCAAATAAATTCATCTGTTTACTATTCTCTTTTCTCTATCTCATTCATAATCTAATTCAAACAGCGTATGGTTGTAAAAGTAGTCATCCAAAGATTGATCACTGGGAAAGTAATCCTAATATATACCAAGTGCTTCTTTCGAATCATTGTTCTCAGTTGAGGCATCGAGAAACCCAGGACTGTCGCGTATTTTCCAAGTATTTTAAGTGGTAGTAATGGATCACATGATAGGCTTATCACTTTTAATCATATTGAATAGTTCGTATTCATGTAACTGTTGATTACATTCTTTGTGAACCTGTTGTCTGTTGATTGGTGATGAGTTATTTAAAAAGGTATGCACTTCAGAACAGGGTTGTATTTATTGAAAGGTTTTCAAGACATAGTTATACTCCCTTTATCTGTTTCCTAAGATTTGTATTTTATTCACTCATTCGTTTCTTCACTGCTTCCTTTGATATTGAATTTTTTGTTGTAAGAACTGCCTTTGATTTGATGGACAAAGTTGTATACTCTTGAAGCGTTTGTTGGAGGTTATCCCCGAAAAGTTTGTTCATATCTCGAAAGTCCTATACTTCACCTCAAGTAGGAGAAAAGTTGTAACCATCTGTCTTCATTGTTCTGAACCAGTAGTGAGGTTAGATAGGATTACCCGATTTTGCTATTCTTTCGAAATATTCTACTACTGGACAGCTTGAGCAGTTGAAAGCCACTCAGACTGATCTATTGATTTTGCCACCCAGCCAGATCAGAGTGATCTAAATATCGGATGGTCTTTTTGCTCTTTTGGGACCGAGCTCATAAGCAGTGTTCCCTAACAGATCTGGTTCATAGAGCTGAATTGACTCAAGTTGTTGAGTAGTAGTATATTTCGCTAGTTCATGATTCTTGTCAGAGATCACACCTTATGATCTTGGCTGGATGGTTTCCAACGTAAACTTTGTTAACTGCAACACCTATGGCACCGTCGTGATGTTAAACTTGCCGTAAAAGTATGCAACACCTTGGTTCGAACAGTTCTGTTCTACACCTGTAAAGCGTTGAACCTGCAATCATAGAATGTTCGACTCTTCGCCTTCGATCAACGTTGTCTCTGCAAGATTTGTTGCATCCGGATAGATAGGAAAATCAACGCAGGAACTCGCAAACAAGTGTATCGACCCAAGTTGCCACACTTCACAGCAGTATGCGAAGAATAAGTGAATGGAAAGAGACTGACAGCAAAGTAGATAAGGGTGTATGAGAGAATAAATAATTTCAAGATAAAAGTTAGTAAAAATATTCGAGCCTTAGAAAACGTCAGACAGTGAACACATCCACACCATTGTGACCGATTTTCAGCAATATTAACAAGAAACCCCAACCACTGATTCCTTTTGTCTCGCGGACCCCAACCAGACCCCCCGCATCTCGCTACTTGGCTCAGACCAACAATCAGAGACTTCATGGTCTGGTTGCCATGTCTTGGTCTGACCACGCTGAAATCTACTAACTTCTACTAACATGGCACGTTGAGGTAGGCAGTGTCTCGGCATGTCCAAAACATGCCAATCCATCCCAGTCACTGACAGTTAACAACCTCAACTACCAACTTTCCTTCTTTCTAACCTCCAGCATTGCTCACATGGTAATTCCGCCTTATGTGAACAATGCAACGGAGACACCTATGGTCAAAATCCTGTGACCGCTTCATATCTTCTAGTTTCAGTGGCCATATCTTGCAATTGCACAACAGGACAAGATGGACTCTAGCACAGTATACTCGTCCTTTAATAGGTGGTCGGATATCTAGCCAGTCGTTGCTAAATATGACACAAGTTGGCAAGCCTTAAACAGGCTCTGTGGATCCCCGTTGACGTTTCGCCAGCAACTAGCTCGTTCAGCGGCTGATGTATTTCCAGATAAGTGGTCGGTGCACTGAACCACTTCACTCCCTATCCTTAAATCATCGGTCAAGTCAACTGAAGTATATGGGAATCAAATGTGATCGCCTCTGACTGGCATCGGTCACCAATTGTCATAATCATCAAGAAAGGAAGAAGTCCTCTAGTGATAACCTAAAGGGAATCAGTCTGACGAACATAGTGTCTAAGATTCTAGGTTCTGTGATTGTTAGAAGTGTAAGTGAAGCTCGGGAACAACAAACCACAGTAGACTCCTAAGTATGACTAAAGTCAAGACGTGATTTCAGCGAGGAAAAATTTTTCTTTTCGATTAAGTCATTTACTTAGCTGTACATTCGCGAATATATGTTACAGTGGGCAGAACGTTCCAGAATTATTTCTGGTTAGAGGGCAAAATATATTGAGTAACCAAAGGAAGTTAATTAATTCACATTTGCTGTTAGAGTGGTGAAATAGACAAGGGATTATGAAATTAAATGTAATTATCTAATACAGGCTGAATGTATGGCAAAGTAGGAAACTGAACGAAGGGTTATGAAAGTAAAAGTGCTATCATGTAATACCGGATAAACCTATGACAATATGAAAATAAACAGGGGATTATAAAAACAAGATTGTAATCACGTAGTGCAGGTTAAATCTATGACAAGGAAAATGAATAAGGTATGAAGGAAATACCTTATACAAAATGAATTTATGGCAGACAAGGCTTTGTGATGGCCATGACAAAGATGAAGGTAGGACGTACCGTTTTTGAACGCATAATGCTGATTTGAACTTCTGGATCGCTAGTGCTTCAGCTATAGACAGATGCCTTGACCTTACTCCCTTCGAGTAGTTTGATCAAAGTGTGCAGTTAATAGTCTTGTTGGGTGAAGATGTTGACAAGACGCAGACTCTACTGGACACACACAGTCAATTTGAGAAACCTTTGTAATGCGTTTCTTGCCGCCGAAATGCGAATTGTCGCTCACTGACCCATCATCAATATCAACATAGGACCAGGCATTTCTGCATAACGGTCTACGTTGCCACACTCCATGTCAGTACATCAAACAAGAGTGCACTAGGGTGAAAGATAAAGAAATAAAAATGGAAGTATTCATAAGTGCTGAGAAGAGAGCAAGGTGGATTGAGAAAATACTGGAATTTAGTATAGTGATTAAGGTGAAGAAACTATGTGGGTAAATCTGCGCCACTGACATCGACTCTGAGTCATGTCCCCTACAGTCTCCAATCACTGATTTCTGTTGTCATGGCATTGATCAGACTGATTACTCTCTAAGGTTGTCTCAAGAAGACTTCTGTCCCTGTTTATTGACTGTAAGTAAAGTAGGCCGGTCTGACGGGACTACCTTCGATTCCAGTACACTACTTAGTGCTTGTTTTATTTTAATCAACCATTTCCTACCTCCATCCCAGGGGAACGTAGGGTGGCAAACCGTCAACTCCTGCTACTTTGCATTGTTTCAGTTTAGAAACAGATTTCTAAACTTTGACGAGATTTGCAAGACTGGAATCTGTATGCCGTTAGGGTTCGGGCTGGATTTTGGGCAAGTGATGCGTTACTGTTGGCCATATGAACTTTACTTCAAAGTATTCCATCTGACTTTGTATTCGCCTTTTTTGAAAGATGGCGTCCTATACTTGTCGATGACGGTTCCGCTCATAATCGTCTTTTTGCCGGTGTGCTTAATAAGCCTTAGTAGTTACCGGGTACTACCTAATGTTGATCCTTTCGCTGTCGCCACCAACCACTGCTCGCAATCGTTGCGAAGACCCACAGCTAACTTATTTTTCAGCTGCCTCCCCTGCCTCTCATGACCATAGTCAGCTGGAATGAGTCTTGTACATGAACCATTCCAGCTGATGTTGTGGAAATCCAATGATGTTTGCTAACCTTTGGATGTATTTTGCCAACTGTCTTCACCACTGTTTCGACAGCAGACTGAATATCACACCAGGCTTCATCAGGTTGAGGATTGTTGTCGTGCTCACGTAAATGCTTAGCTGTTTCCTCTCTGAATACGTACTTCACATTCTCATCTTTGGATCGAGCACGTACAGGCCTCACTGCTGCCTGTTTTCTGCGATCAGTAAGGCTCAGACATACATGAGCGCGTGGTTGGAGTCGAACTAGGTAGGTAATAGGAGTGGCAGTCCTCCGACGGTGGTTGTTTTGGCAGAGTGAGGTGTTGAGAAAGTTATAAGAGGCCTACTGTTAGAATCAGGAGGTTAAAGCAAGTCAGGAAACAGAGTTAAGGTGGATGAGTTGTTTAGTTGGGTCTTGAATACTACATAAAGCGCGCGAGTGGTTGACACTTTCCGGCTGAGAGATCATGCGACTCATTGACTGGAGACGATAGCATACATATGGTGATGATGTTGGACTTTTCTTGTTTCTTCAATTACTTTAAAGTGAGATGTAGGTTGTAAATGCTGCTATTAGTATGTCTTTAAAACCACTTCTTTAATGAATCACTTTTGTTTTTGCCCCTGTCCTCTTCCATTTCTTGGGTTGCTTTTTTTTTCTTATGGCACATCTCTTGGCGTCTATGTTGTACCAAGTTTTTGTTCTCAATATAATTTGTAATCATTACTTATTTGAAGTAAATAATACCAAGAGGTTGAGTAAACTGAATCATATCCTAGCCATTTCAATTTTATGCTATCAGAATTATTTACACACTTTTTCTTTCAGGTTATGTGCTGAAAACACGTGAAGAGAAAGCAAACTGTTCAGATCATTTGCAAGTCATGGTGAACAAACTTACTACATCTGGTTTCAACATACCTGTTGATGTACTTGTTTGCAAAATTATAGATCTTTGTTGGTAATTATATCTATGTATACGTTAAAGTTTCATCTGGAAGTATTATAATGCAATACTGTATGAAAACTACGTAATCTTTCATCTTTATCCACTAGAATTATTTGTATTTAATGGGAGGTGGCCAAATATGGTAATCAACGTTCAAGGTCATCAGCCATTAGAGTAGAAGTATTTTTATTTCAGATCTTGATTTACGTCTATATATGGAAAAAGTGACTTCGTTGGATGATTTGATAGCCAATAATATTGTTATTCTATCTTCGACCTAGGACGTTTTTTGTGTGTGGGAAATGTAAATTTATGTGCTATAATTTATCAAATGAAGTCTTCCTTGCAGTAACAGATCAGCCTTTATCTTTTGATATTTGCGTGACTCAGAGAACAATAAGGTACTGGGGGGTGGGGGGGGGAGGGATAGTCACATTGACACTCAGTTCTAGTGTATCGCTGCGTTCAGTATCGTTAGCACCTACGTTTCATTCCACTCGATCACTTCAGTATTTCTTGCGCACACTATTTCCTAGACGCATGTGATTCTCATAAATATACTCCATTGTCAATTTCTATTGAATGATGCACAGTTGCCTTGCATGTATCCACATTATGATGGAAGAATGTGATCATTTTTATTGTTTTGAAAAATCCTGTCGACATCGGATTATGTTCAACTTGTAATCTGATTATTATCCGATAGATATTTTCTCTGCATTAATACGTTGCACTTCTTGATTTGGCTGTTTTTGGATTTTTTGAATGCGGCTGATTTCGCTTTATCTGATGTTTCCATTAGAAGTTCATAGTCTATGCTATTTAACATTTTCATAAGCTTACATGTTAGTTATGCAACTTTATTCAGGATGGTAGTTAGCTTTCTAATGACCCTATGAATTTCTTCTTTTAGATGGAGTCTGCTGCCATTTTCTCTTGATCTTATGATCTGCCGACAAATCCATCCTGAGCTTGAATAGGACGTAGATGTCGATTCTCCGACTCTCGTCGAAGCTTAGTAGCATATGTCGAACCTGAAGCGATGCAAAGGTTTTTAAGGAAAGAGGTGGAAAATTATTGGGTAGAGTAACGGAGGTACTTGGAACTGTATAGTAATCAAAGGTAGTACTGTCAAACTGACCTACTTCTTAGATCATTCCAGTCTATAGGTACAGATAGAAGTCTGCTTTTGACAACCATAGGTGTTAGTCAGTTTGATCATTATAGTATCAAAGATCCTTTAGTCCATAGTTATCCGACGCCTAACTGGAGCTCGAGGGCAGCATAGTGGAGGAAAGCAGACAACTTTCATTCCTGGATGAGGGTGCATGAATCAGATCTTCATCGATTGACCGCTTTCGTAACAAAAGGATACTTACTAGCGGTCGACAGTCTCCATATATCTCGACCTGAAGGCAGCATTCTGTTCTGTTGGCCTAGAGGTGGTATGGTATTGTGTCACTGTTAGAGGAATACCAAGCAACTATTTAGCGCTAATCAAAGCTCTCTAATCAAACTCAGCTCTGTAAAGGTAGTGTTTATCCCTTGTAGTCTTACGGTGATTTATTCTGATTAGGTTTCAATAAACCATTGCCACAGCCAGATGGGGAAATCAAACTGCCGGCTGGTGGTAACTGTGACAGCAGTAAGGTGTTTCTGTCGGATGACCGGAAGTGCCACACTGATGTTACCTTCCCTATCGGAAGGGGCGTTTGAAGTGGTCAGTCCTAAGAACATCACATACCTACCACCCAGCAGCATACGGGTGACGGGTTAATAGTCGGATTCGAAACTAACATAAACATCAAACTTCAACCAGATGTCTACTTGACTGTGCGATCGCACATCAACCATTCTCTTTCAGGTACCCCAACAAGAACTAGCCTCACATTATGGGCGACCGGGAAAGTGTTGGCCGCTTGTGCAACCCTGTCAGGACTCAAGTCCCTTCAAATCGCTCTCCACATCCTTACTTTCTTATCTTTCTTCATGTCTCACACTCAATAGTTCGCTATCACCTTTGTTTCTTTTAGCTCTTGGCAACGATCTCAGTTTACAAAAAGTCATCAATACCAACATAGGACTAGGCATTACTGCGTAACGGTCCGAGTTACTACAGCTCATATCAGTACATCAAGTAAAAAGGCAGTGAAGTGGAGAATGAAGAAGAGAAGACTCATTCAAAAGAAATATAAAGTACTAAAAGAGAGAAAATGGTGAGATTCGGCATAGCGTCGTTAAGATGAGGATAATGTGTGTATACATCTGCACCACTGATATCGGTCCTGAGGGATATAAAACAGAGTCAGTCTCCAACCACTGGTTCCTCTTGTCCCACGGACCCCAACCACCCAGTCTGCATCGCCCCACATGGCTAAAACAAACAGTCAAACACTTCGTACAATGATGCTATGTTTTAGTCTGACCACCTCGGACCTTTTTCCGGCCTGAACCTACTTCGGCCAACATTATGTAACGAGGCAATCGGCGACTAGGCATATGTAACACATGTCGGAGCCAACCATCTCAGTCGATGAAGATTCACAGCCACATCAACTGTCTTACCTCTCCTGTCTAAAACTCTCCACCTGTCTCCTGCGTTACTCACATGGTGACACCACGAAATACGACCTATACTACGAAGGCAACAGTGGTCAAACACTTCAAGCCTTCTCATGTCTTCCACCTTCAACGGCCATGTTTCACAGCCATAGAGTATAACAGACCGGACTGCTGTGTAGCACACTCGACCCTTGATAGACAATCAGATATCACGGTGGCGCGGCAGGTGGTGTAAGTTGGCGAAAGCCAACGGAGCGTTTTGTATTTGTGCAGAGATTTCATCGGCAACTAACCCACCAGGTTTGATCTTACTTCCCATGTAAGTGAAATGGTCGACACACTCAATCACTACACTCTCTATTGTTAGCCACCGTTGAAGACCAATCATGGAGCAGCAATTCGCATTTTGGTGGTGAGAAACACATCCCAAACATTCTCAAGTTCCCACTCAAAGTGTTCAGAAGACTGTGCATCTTGTCAGCGTCTTCACTTAACAGGACTATGTCATCTGCATATTCTAGGTCTGACGAAAATTCTCCTGTGATTAGGTCAACATCTGTGTAATTAGGTGACGAGAAGGAGACCTTCATGAGAATAACTGTGATAAAATTGAATAAGAATGGAGACAGACAGTGGGCATCCTTGACGGACACCACTCGATGAGTATAGCTCCCTGGAAAACTCGCCATAGGCTGTAACACGCCCAAAAGTGTTCGAGTAGAGAGCTTTCAATAAGGCGATGTACTTACTCGGCACGCCTTTCAGTGACAGACATTGCCATGAGACTTCTCGATCAACATAGTCAAATGCCACCTTCTAGTCGGAAAATACAGCTATTGTCGGGCGTCGGTAGGTGTGCGTATGTCCCAGAACCCGGCGCAGTGTAAATAATTGGTTGATACACCCGCGGCCAGGTCTAAAGCCTGTCTGGTTTTCTCAGGCTTGGTGTTCCTGAGTTCCACTGAGACGTCGAAGAATTATAGAACCTGGGATTTTGGGTACTATGTTCGTCAGGCTGATTCCTCTGTGGTTATCACATGAGGACTTCTCGCCTTTCTTGAAGACTGGAATAATCAGTGATTTAGACCAGTCAGAGGGGATGGTATTTGATTCCCATATACTGGTGAACACTTCCGTTAACCTGACTAAGAGCAGTCTACCGCCATTCTTGTATACCTCTGGAGTTAGTCTGTCTGGTCCTGTTGCCCTTCCTCGTTTCAGGTTACCTAACACTTTCTCGACTTCTTGGGGGCCTATCTCAATGTTCCATTCAGGATCTAACTGGATAGCCGGCAACGCAATGGTGGCTGGAGGCCAGTTAAACTGTTCCTCGAAGTGTTTTACCCATCGTTTTAGTGGTCTTACCTGCGAGTGAATCGTAGGTCTATCCTTCTCCCCCATAGCCTCACTAACTGTTGTTGACCATTTCCCCCAGTTTCCTTAATAAGCCTAAATAGCTGTTCACTGTTACCAATCGCCGCTGCCTTTCCCATCTCTTTAGCCTTCGCTACCCACCACTGTTCGCGGTTGTTGCGTAGACTTTTTCTCAATCTGCATCAATATAGCATTAAAGTATTTCGAAGGCGGAGAAGTGACAAGATTTAAAAAGAAGATGGTTAAAAAAGGAGTTTGCAAGAGTTAGAGTCACTCAGTTAAATAAGCTATCCGACAAAGGTGGGTCTTTGCTGACTCCCCATCGTTACTTCACTAAACTTTCCATTGTAACTCAGGGGCGTGAGGGATTATGGAGAGCTATCTCTAAGATGATGACTAGCGTCCGCGTCTGTTGGGGATATTTACCGTCATTTTAACTCAAATTCATTGATGAAGGTTGTTCTATCTATCGGAAATATTTTAAGCATAAGCCTCCTACACGAAAAATGTGTGAACAATATGGTTGAGTTCCATGAAGCATAAGGATACTCCATTATTTTAGTAAAAGCCCAGTAATTTTTTTAGTTTGTTTCACACCAGAGAAATGCGTGATGATGATGTATCAACTGACATAATTTTGACATTTGGAAGGGACTAAGCTAGGTTACTTACCCATTTTCAGGAAGCTGAACTATCTTTGATATGGGCTTATGGCTTAGTGTCAAAAGTCAGTTGTTAGCAGTCAAGTGTTTAACCGCACTTCAGTGTTTATCTGTGCTACTCTATGTCTCCAAGACTGTTGAGAATGAACTGCAACAAAAGGATATGTGTATTCAGTAATTCCTGACCTCAGAAGACCTAGCATTTTGAACCCTTTGATGGCTAACCTTTAAAACAGCGAAAAATGGTATTGTACTTAATGGTTAACCGTTGATTTTCATATGATTTTGTAATGATAAGCAATGTTCATCTTAGGTTCCTCACGTTTTAACAATTATCCTTGAATTAATCTCTATGGTACTTACTTACTGCACTAGAAAAAATGTTTATGATATCGTCAGCATGCAGAGGGAATGAAACCGTGATTGTTCAGAGTCTAGCCAAATGCAGAGTAACAGGCCCCCAAAGGATTAATAATCTAGAAAAAAAG